TCCTCTTCCTCCTTCTATTTTCTGTGTGTGTGGATGAAAGTGAAGTAGAACTAAGAATAATATTACCTGAGATGCAGGAAAATTTTTTTTTCCCTTCTTTTTATCACCTTAGGACACTTGGCTTACTATTCTGTTGGCTATAATATATATTTTATTTTATGTGCTGAACATGTTGATAAAAAATAGTGATACAACCCAGCCAGCGTAGCTAGGTGGTTGAGCTTCAACCTATGATCCAGGAGGTCACAGTTTGATTCCAGGTCAGGGCACATGCCCAGATTGTGGGCTGGATCTCCAGTAGGGAGTGTGTAGGAGGCAGTTGATTAATGATTTTCTCTCATCATTGATGTTCCCAGCTCTCTCTCCCTCTCCCTTCCTCTCTGAAATCACTAAAAAATATATTAAAAAATAAAAATAGTGATACGCCTTATTGTTTGATGCATTAACAAATCAGTGGTAGGGGTGAGATGTGGGAGTTTTGTAGGCAAATCCCACCCTAGTATAATAGTTGGCAGCTTAAACATTCACCCATTGTTTTAAAAATTCTGTTTTCTACTGAACTTGTGCCAAATGCTTCCCAAATTTTGCTGATAAGAATATAAAAAGCACATGGCTGTTGCAATCATCAAGTGCAGATTAGATTACATTTATTCCACAAACACAACAAGAAACCTTAAACTTAGAATTCTGTTTATGTATCTAGACTGTTTAATAAAATTCCAGATCTTTCCCTGACCATGAGGTTTTTAATGATTCTTTTTTTAAAAAATATTATTCCAACTACAGGCCTGGTGCATGAATTTTGTACATGGGTAGGGTCCCTACGCCTGGCCAGCTATCAGGGTCAATCAGGGCCTTTTGGCTGCCTGCGGGGGGCTTCCTTCTGGCTGCCAGCTGGGACCATCCTCCCCCAGCTGCGGGCCACTGGCTGGGGCCTGTCTTCATTCTGCTCTGCCCCCTGGTGGTCAGCACACATCATAGCAAGTGATCGAACTCCTGAGGGGACACTTTGCATATTAGCCTTCTTTATATATAGACTAGATGCCCGGTGCATGAAATTTATGCATGGGTAGGGTCCCTAGGCCTGGCTGGCGATCAGGTCTGATCTGTGGGGCAACTGGCAGGGCAATCAGGGCCCCCATTTGCACCAGCCTTGGCCTGGAGCCACCCGCTCTCCGACCCCACTGCTGCTGCCAGTTGCCATCTTTGGGGTGACTGGCGGGGCGATCAGGGGCCGCTGCTCACACCTGCCTTGGCCTGGCACCACCCACCACGGTCCCACTCTCCTCGGGGCCCATCAGGACCAGCAGTGCTTCCACTGCCGCCCACTGCCATCGCTGCATCATCGATGTACTCTGTGTTCCACACAAGCCCTGGTGGTCAGCGCACGTCTAACTCCCGATCTGTCAAATTCCCGCCTATGGGGACAATTTGCATATTAGCCTTTTATTACATAGGATTAGCGGGGGAGGGAGGGAGATTTGGAAGATGAGAGCTTGATTTTGAACTAAGATTAGAGGCCTGAAAGTTATCAGTTTATTTACCAGGATCAATAGTATTTATATAAGGGAAGGGGAAGGTCAGAAGGAGAAATGAGATGGGGAGTTAATGAGGGGATGTCACAGAGCAAGGAAATGAGAGAGAACTGTGAGAACATCCATTCTTATCAATTAAAGAGAAGAGGAATCCCCCAAATTTAGGTTTTAAGCATTGCATTGGGAGTGGAACCCTGTGAGTTAGGCTAAGAGCATAGGTGGTTAGAATTCAGGCCAAATGAGAAAAATGAACATGAGGAATAATTGCAGAATTAAGAGAAAAACTACTTTTAGGATCTTAAATATGTGGCTCAGTATGCCATGTGGTTAAGAGGATGATCCATGGAGTAAAGCTGTGTGTGTTCAAATCCTAGCTCCGCCCATTGCGTGGGGTGTCCAGTCACACCTGGAACAGAGCAAGTCCTCTGTAAGTGTTGTTGTTGAGGATGGTGATGGTGATGATCGATAAACTATTACACAGGAAAACGTGGCCCATGTCGTGTTAATCAAAATAGAGTAATTTGGTACCGTTTTCAAATCTGTGATCATTGCCAAACTGACAGAATAGAGTACTGGATGAACTGTCAGTGGTACTATTTTTAATAGTATTAAACCAGAAAGGTTAGATGCTAGAGAACACAAATTAGTAATCTAATTAAATCACCCTCGAAAGGGACAGACCATGTTAACAGCAGTCAGATTTGTTATTACAGAGCAATTATGCGAGGGAAATATTGGAAGATGCTGTGTGTCATTGCCAGATTTCGCACAATTCAGTGTACACCGGCAGAGAAGTGTAAGTTAACCGGTTTGTTTGATAAGCTAAAAGCTCCTTTATTAAAATGGTTTCATTTATATAAAGGGAGCAACACTGTTGAGAATCTTAAAAAAAAAAAATTGCTGGTATACTGAACGACATTCATTTATGAACTCACTCGCCCCAGTCACTGTCACTGGGGCCGACTCCAGTGCCACGTGACCTAATTTGTGAGGTTAAAAAACAGTTTCGGGTTTGAACATTTTGTACATCTCCTTAAATCACTCTTAAATGATTTCCATGTGGTACCAAATGATTATTTGGTCACATTTCATATTCAAAGAATATAAATCTTTTATGAAATATCAGAATGTCCGCAGGACTAGTGAACAGTTGCTAGTGAACAGTTGCTTTGTTTTTTTTGTTTTGTTTTTCCCTCTTGGTTTCTGGCCTTCACAGAGATAGGAAACTTTTCTAGGCTCCTAACTATTGTGTTCTTCCGACTGGACACATCCCAGATTCCTCAGAGTTTTGTACCAGGCCCCTGGGGTCTGTTCTAAGCTCGTCAGGCTCACACTTGGAGCCTGAGGACAGAGGGCTACCCCAACCTCTCTGTGCCCCAGCCTCCTGATGTGTAAATAAGGGCTAATCGAGCCTCGTGATTTGATTGTGGGGACTGCATGCCTGTTTTTATACGAGTAGCTATCACAGTACCCAGCAGAGATACACCCTTACTAAGTTGTCATTGCTTTATTTTTATCTTAATGTATCTTTAAGGATAGCAGTCATTTGGTCTAGCTCACTGAAGTACAACTGATACCTATTTGAACAAGTCTCTTTAATACATTATCGGTGTGTGTGTGTAAAACACTAAGGGTTCCTTGACCAATTATTCTTTTTTTTGCTAGGAAAGAGGGGAAAATTGCTTTACACACACATTCATATATGTGAAGGAATTAGTGTCTTTTTGGGAGTCATCTGTTTCAGGTTATAAGGCATGGAGGAAGATTTTGAATAAAAGTATCCTAAGACAGGTGAATATCAAAATGAGAATTTCATAAAGCATCCCAGAGCCTGGGACTCTGAATTCAGAGCTCTTTCCGTTATACCAAAAACAGACACTAATTCCTGTCACACATGTGTAAGCTAATTGTTACGGGAGCATGGGGGAGGTGACACTTGCTTTGGGTTTTGAGGAATAAGAGTGTAACATGATAAAACAAAAAGACATTAAACAAATACCGGGAACAACATTCCTCAAGGCATAGAGAGGGGGGGGGGATCGTGCGGAAGAAGGTGGGCTTCTTGAGTGACATGTGGGATGGGCTTCAGTACTGTGATCTGTTTGGGAGCTATTGCTGGATTTATAAGCAAAGACTGAGGATAAATCCTTCCTTTCCAGACAAATGTAAGAGACAGTTACAAGAAAATATAATGTTTTTAGTTGGTGATGGGAAGCTACTGAGTATTTGTACTGATTGTATTATTTTTAAGTAGATTACCACCAAAGGCCAAAGGTTTTTATACATAGGAGGAACAACAGTTAGCAAAAGCAATAATAGTGCCTTGGTGTGCACTTCTATTTTCAAGGTTAATTATTTGTTTAATTAAATAACAAATCAGAATCAACCAGAGATGCTATTGCGAGATGAGCATGACTGTCTTTGTCAGTGTAAGAATCCCTTGACCACTTTTTTAAATTTGTCAATAAGATTTGGCCTTTTTTCCGCTTGGAAGACCATCTCATGTTTGTATTATTTTCTCTTGCAATTACTGATTATAGCTGCATTTTACAAATGAGGGGATTGAGTGGTATACAGAGGTCCCACATCTAGAAAGTGGTAGAGCCAGGATTTGTGCTCATACAATTCTGTAGTCTTGAAAAATAGCTCTCAAGATATTATGAGAGATTAGATTGGAGTTCGAGGCAGGGAGATGGCTCTGGAAGCTACTGAAATTGCCAGAAATGAGAGGGTGATGGGGGACCAGAGAAACACATGGGACAGGGGCCGTTGTCAAATGGAACCAAGAGCGAGTGATGACTCAGGGGGAGGAAGAAGGAGGTGTTGGTGTTGATTTCTAAGGCCTAGTTGTTGTTGTTTTTCTAG